GTGTGTGATACCCGGGATTGAACTCAGGATCTATTAACCTTTTTGAAACTCCTTTTTTTCCCCCCTCACTAAAAAGAAAGGGCCTGGGTTATAGTTTAGCAATATAGTGTTTACCTGGCAAGCGTAAGGTCCTGAGTTCTGATTCCTGGTATGAAAGAAAAAAATTTTAACAACAAACACCTAACTATAACTAACATACTCATTTAGCTGATGAGGGAATGAAAATAATGAAAAGTTAACAATGGGCCAGTAAGTCACAGAGCCCGTAAGAGCTCAAGTCAGGATCTGAATAATACAGGGAGAAAAACTGATCTCGGGTGGGTGACCTCCAAATGATACAGGGAACCTCCAAATGACATGGGGAAAAATGATCTCCCGGCCTCACCTGGATGAGTTCATGTTCTCTAAAACCAAAGAATGAATTTAATAACAAATGGAGGCGATGAGCAGAAAATATTTATTGTGGAAAAGAAAGCTCCTGTCCGAGAGAGGGACAGGAGGGGACGCCTGAGCGGAGTTGTCCCCAGGAAGCTGTCTCTTCCAGGGACTTTTATAGTGTAAAATTATGTGAGGCTAATGTGGAGAACATGGGAACTCGCTTAGGTGGATGTAGGGTGGGACAAAACTATGGTCAACCAATGAGATGACAAGTACCATTGCTCAGGTAAAATTGATTAAGTCCAGGATCAAATGGGGAAGCCCGTCATGTAGCAAGCGGGCATGAACGTAGAGCAGGACTTTGTCCAGTAGCCAGCCAACAGTAGTTGGATTAATGATTCTTCTGGCTCCCTCAGGGTGATGATCAATCTCGGATGCCAGTCTTTAGGGAGGTCGGCATTTGTTTGATCTTTGGTCTTTAGGTCTGGCCCACCGTGGGAGCATCCATCCGTCCTACAGCTGTAAGGCATCTTGTCTTTTGTGTTACCTCCTTCGAGGGCCTGGCCCTGTCTGACGCCTATAATATTTCTATCTAACTCAGGGGAGGAGACAGACCTGGCTGGAGAGACGCAGTGCTGGCAGCGCCCAGGTCTGTGTGTGCGGGTTACTGAGCCAGAACTGTGTGCGGGCAGAGAGGGCAGGTCCTGGGTAAGGAGGTGACCTCGATGACCTGCAGCTACCTGCTCCTGAGTGCTTGCTAAATGCCAGGCACTCAGCTGGGAGACTTGTAGAGATTCACCCACTTAAACCTAATAATGAGATAGCTATAGAGCTAGTTTCTCTTAGTTCATTGAAAAGAAAGTTTTGTACTAATATCATTTGAACAAGATATCATGCCTAGATCTTATACTCTAAATATCTACTTCAAAGATAGCAATACACAAT